ATTTGTATTTCTATGAGTTACTGTTTGAGGAGTTAAACTTTTGTTTTTGTTTTATTTGGTTTATTGTTGTTTGGAATTAATATAATTTTTTGTAAATAGGAGCAGATAATATAAGATATTTTTCTTCATCTGCTGCCTTTTTATTCGATTTGCATTGTTTTGTTGTATGTAATGTGTTTTTTTAATGAAATCAATAAACTATATATATATGAATTCCGCTCAAATGAATCAGATCTTTATTCTGATTATCTCGAACCCATTCATCCATTTTTCCCCCCACCCACAGAACTCCCTTCCGATGGGGCACAGTAATGTACGAACAGATGAAAAAGACCAAATGAAGAAAAAGAGATATGCACAAATCATTTAGATCAATTAATTTTATTGGTTGTTTGATGGTCTTTGACTGATGTTGGGCACATGCAGTGTTTTCTTCTTTTAACACCACACTGGATCCAGTGAGTCTTTATCTAGTAGCAGGAGTCCATGATGCGCCTCATGCTCATGAACCTCATCCCGCTCATGCCCATGCTCATGAAATTCCTGTACTCTCCAGGCCTCATGTACCACATCCTTCCTCTGAAGTGGGGCTGCTCGTACATCAGCCAGTGGCCCTCCATCACGTTGCAGGACATGAAGTTGGACATGCTGAAACGGTCCATGATGTTGTCGCAGTCCTCCATCAGCTCGTGCATCTGGCCCTGGAAGTTCTCCCTTTCGTAGATCCTCATCCTGTAGGACCCTCTGTACATGGGGATGGTGCGGCAGGACCTGATGCAGTCAGTCATGCCAAACATGCTCATGTAATCAGCATATTCGCCTCTCCTCATGAAGTACTGGTTTCCCATGTAGTTGGGGCGGTCGTAGACCATGAAGCAGCCCCTCTCCACCCTGCAGGAGTGACAGCGGCTCAGGTAGGAGGTCATGTCGGGACAGTCGCTCATGCACTCATATGAGCGGCCCTGGAAGTTCCTGTCCTCGTAGAAGACGATCCTGCTCATCATGTTCATCCCACTGGAGGTCATCTTAGCGGCTTGTTGCTGATGCTGTTGCTGCTCTTGGAGCTGAACTGCTTGTCTACTTGTTGGCAATCCTCCCTTTTATACCTGACAACCAGAGGGCCTCTTTGTGAAAACATCCTGACTCAGCAACACACCATGGAACCGTATGGACCAGTGAGGCCTGTCAGGTCCATTACTGCTCCCTCAAAAGACCTTAGAGAGGCATTTTCTCTTCAGCTGTTGTCAGGACAAACCCTTTTCAACAAAATAATAAAGAGCACTGTCACCTTTTGTAACACCTTCAAAGGCTTAAACAGTAAGCTGTGTGATTAACAATAATTAACAAGGCACCATTCAGCTTAGTCTTTTTGATTATTTCTTCTCAGCTGATTGTAAAGTAGGTTTTGTAATTCTCTCAGGTGCACTTGTACATACATACATACATACATACATACATACATACATACATAC